AACCCCACTGCAGTCAGGTCATAGTGACCCTGCAGGACAGAGTAGAACTGCCTCCCAGTGTACGCACGGTTGGAAATCCTCACGGAACAGACTCCCTCATCTGACTCCCACAGAGCAGCTGATGGATTAAAACTGCCAGTTTTCCAGTGAGTAGACAGTTAACCCACTATGCCACTAGGGCTCCTAGGATTGAATTGGGAACAAGAAAACTTTACAAAATATTAGCGTATCATTGATAATCTGGTTTTGTTGCCACTATTGTTACCTGTTCAACAGTCATTCCCCCCTTTTGTCAGTAATCAATTTACTTTAAAGGTACATCCTTTCTCCATTTATAACATGGCTCAGATGGGAATAATTGCAGTCCCATAACCCACTTCAATAATGGGCTCCTAACACAGGAAACTCTGCTGTTAGGGGCCTCTCCAAAGAACTGGTGAGCAATAATGTTAGTTTGAAGACTATGGTGCGCCTTATTGAGGCCATGATCTTTTCAGTCACTTCTATGCATCTGAGAGCTGAATAAAAGAAAAACCAATGCCTCTGCATTGTGATGTTGGAGAAGAGTACTGAATATCCCATGGATTGCCAAAAGAACAAGGACATATGTCTTGGAGAAGTGTAGCCAGAGTGCTCCTTAGAAGCAAGACAAAATCAAAGCTTTGTCTCACTTTGGGTATATTGTTATAAGAAGTTATTCTTTGGAAAGGAACATCCTGCTAGAAAAAGGAAAAAGGTCAGAGAATGAGAAGAAAGACCCTCAACTAGATGGACCGACACAGTAACCACAGCAACGGGCTTGAGTATGTCAGAGATTATGAGGATGGCACAGGATAGGGCAAGGTTCAGACTTGTTGTTCATAGAGCCACTATGAGTCATACTCGACAGCACATAACAACCACCTAGATTTGGCATATCAGAGTCAAAGGTGCCAATTCAGAGATGGACACATGACTTACTTTAAGGAATGACAGTCAGTTCTAGAGATTTTCTTGGAACTATTGGGCAAGAGGTGCTTGTAGATTATGAGAAAATGGACATTTTGTCACAAGCAAGCATAAGCCTGCCCATTGAAAGAAAGCAAAGGGATAGAGAAAGACAGACTTCTGACAGCATCTACTTATCATCTATATTACGTTCTTCCTGACATAAAAATCCATCCTGGAATTACTCAGTTCCACACCAGCAGTCAGGAAACCAAAAGTCGAATCACATTGGGAAATTCTGCTGTCAGGGACTCCTCCAGAGTGCTAAAGAGTAATGATGTCAGTCTAGAGACTAAGCTGCACTTGACCCAGGCCATGGTCTTTGCAATTGCTTGATACATATCAGAAAGCTGGACAATGAATAAAGATGACAGAAGAAAAATGGATGCCTTTGAGCTGTGCTGCTGGAGAAGAGTATTAAATATACCATGCACTGCCAAGAGAACAAACAAGTCTGTCCTAGAGACAGTGAAGCCAAGTTGCTCCTGGGAAGCAAAAATTGTGAAGCTCCATCTGACAAACTTTGGGCATGTTTCCAGGAGCAACCAATCCTTGGAAAAGATCAGCATGCTTGGAAGGGTTGAGGAGCAGCCCAAGAGAGAAAGACCCAGGATGAGATGGATCGACACAGTGACTGGGTTAATGTGGGTAGATGTCTTGGAGACAGTGAAACGGATTCAGGATAGGCCAGGTATGGTGCATAGAGTCATTATGAGTCACAGGCAACTTGACGGCACATAACAGCAACAAATCACTACATTCCCATTTTGCTTATGCCAGTTAAGTTTTATCACAGGCAACCAAGAGTCAGGATGAACATGTGGCAAGTATTGTGTGCTGGTACTCATCCCCACATCCATTTCTTTATAAAACTTCTGCATAATCAAGGCTGGAAACTTGAAAGCCACATTTCTAGGACTCCCTTGTCAGCTTGGTTCCCATCAAGAGTTGCTAGTGGGAAATCTCACATGAAGTCTGAAGGTGGGCGGAAAGGGATAACTCCTCTACTTCTGAGATGCCTCTAATACTGTCCATGGCAGTGGTGCGTGCCCAGTGAGGGTGAGGAGAGTTCCAGCAGTGTCAGCAGGGAGTGCAAATTTAAGTGCTTCAACTTCTTGACCCTTGGTTAGCACCTTTTTCCTTTCTTAAACCAACATTGCTGGTAGCTTGTAGATCAGATTGCTACACACTTCCTCCTACTTCTCTAGATCTCCCCACAACTTTGTAACAAATCCATGGAATATATAGTTGCTGTTGTTAAGTGCCCTCCTCGAGTCTTAGATGACTCATAGTGGCCCTATGAATCAATGACCAGAACACTTGTATAACTTTTCATCGTTTCTGTAAGTTCAGAGTTTCTAGAGGCAAGCTATTTCAGAAGTGGATGCCACTCCTGCTTCCACGCCTGTTTTAATTAAGCTTCACCAAACACTGTCCACCATGAGCAACTATTATTGCATTTGACACATCAGTGTCACCGTGGAATATGTAGAGTGATTTCTGTTTTTTATTGAACACTGCTTAATAAAATATACAGCCAATTTTTGCATCCATGTACACCAAGGTGCTCCCTTTGAGACAAAGATGGTGAAGCTTTGTTTCCTATACTTTGGATATGTTGTCAGAAGGGGCTAGACCTTGGAAAACACATCATGCTGTAAAAAAAATGTAGGGTCAGAAGAAGAGAGGAAGACCCTCAAAAAGACTGACATTGTGACTATAACAATCGGCTAGAGCTAGCGTGTCAGAGATCCTGGAAATGCCACAAATAGGGCAAGATTTTCATAATTTCTAGTAAGACTATTAGTCTTAATATTGTTGATGGTGCATAACAACAACTTTCCCCTCCTACCATCTCACACACACACACACACACACACACACTGAAGTTCCATACAGAGAAGTTTAGTGAGTTTTATAAAGGACCATTACTAAGTGGCCTAACTGAGATTGGAATTTAAACATGTTTGACCTTAACTTCTGTTCTTTCCCTGATCCACAGATGGTTTTTATTGTTAGTGGTTTGTTTTATTCTGTTTTCTTATGGCTAAATGAACTATGAGGGTTCAGATGGTTAACCTTGATGTTCTATTTGGATGCGAGGTGGGGGAGGATTGATCATTATGGAGAAGACTGAGACAGTAATGAAGAAACTAAATATCTTCATAAAGTCAGTGAAGCAAAAGGCTATGGAAAAGAGGTGGTGATCCCAGAATATAATGTTGGGACTTAGGGCCATTTTTCATAGGCGAGACAGTCCTGAGTGCTGACTGGGTTCAGAGTTCAGCCATCAGAATTTAGTGATTGAATGACTCAAGTGAGAGTTTAAACTGCAATGTCTTCGGTGATGATAAGGGCATATTCAGGAAGTTTGGTAGGTTGATGGCAATCAGAATGGTAGAGAGAATGCTATGCCAGATTGGCATGATACCAAAGGAGGCAGAATTTAACCTACTTAGAAAGAGCTATTTGTGGGAGTCATGCCAATGCTGGTCTTGCTTCCCTTCCAATAGGACAGCTACAGGACAGGGAAGAGGACTGTGGGGCAGAGCCTCCTCTCAATTAAAGCTGGAGATGACAGGATGTTGAGGAAGTAGAGAAACTTATTAACCATTGCATGTGATTTCAAGAGGGCACCAAAGAAAATTATAGAAGGAAAAGTGCAATGAGGGACATTAGAGCAGTTTGGACATGCTAGACTTCCCTCTTTCACCTCACCTCCACCCTTTCCAGCAAGACCTATAGATTATACCTTCTAAATATCTTCATCTTTCCACATCCTCCATTCAGCCCAAGTCTCCAGGACCAGAGCAAGAACCTTCTCAATGGTCTCCCTGCCTTCACTTGCTCTCCTTTTATTCAACATTCACTCCAAAATAGTCTTTCTCAACTGCAATTCTAATGCTCGCTTTGGCAGGACATATACTAAAATTGGAATGACACAGAGATTAGCATGGCCCCTGTGCAAGGATGACACACAAATTCGTGAAGAGTTCCATGTTTTTGAAACTGTTTCAATTATAAAACAAAAAAGCCATTTAAAAAAATGCAATTGCAATCATAACACTCCCTTGCCTAAAATCCTTCACCAGGGCCCTGTTGCCTTAACAAAACCCTTGCTTTCTACTCTGACATGGCTGTGCCGCCTCCCACAAACTTAATGTCTCTGCCTTCTCCAGCTCTCTCTCACTCCTCTTATCCTTGTACTCAGCCTTCCTTATCTAGTGGCGATTCCCACTCCTGACTATCTCTTTGCCACTTGCTTTTCCTTTCTCACATCACGTTCTCTGCCTGTAATCCTCCATGACATTGAGTACACTCAGCCCAACTCAACCCAACCCAACTCATTGCTGTCAAGTCATTTCTGACATGTAGTGATCCGATAGCACAAAGTGGAACCATTCCATACGGTTTTCAAGGCTGCAATCCACATAGACACAGACTGCTTCTTCCTTCTCCTGTAGGATGGCTGGTGGGTTCAAAGAGCTGACCTTTAGGTTAACAGCCAAGTGATTAGCCACTGTTCCATCAGGACTCCTTATGGTAGTCCAAAGTAGACAGATAATCTATGTTTGTTAAAGGAGTTGAGTAAGTTCTACACATCTGGAGAAATCCACTCAAGTACCATATTACACATGACGCTTTTCCTGATTACTCCGCCCTAGGTATTGCAGACCCCACCTTCTTTGGTGCAGATGGTTTTGATTTTTATGCTATCTAACTTTATTGTACTTATTTGATGTCTTGTCTGTGTTCTGCCCTTGATTGTGTCTGATTTATCACCCCATTGTCTGACACAATGGATAAAAGAAGCAGGTATTGTTCTTTTACTGGAAATTGCTTGGAGACAAGTTAGAGGCTTCCCTATGTTAGGTAAGGAGAAATAGGAGGCCACTACAGTAGAGAGGAAGACACGAGATTTAACTACTAAAGTTTACTGGGTAACTGTTTACACACTTCTACACTCCTTAGTAGGATGCAGTAGTGGCCTCAGATATGTGCAGTATATTGACCTAATCAGGTCCTGACCTGATACCCAGGCCTTGCTTCCACTCTTCAGGCCAAAAGAGAGACAGTCAATCAGATGGAGAAAAAACTGACATTCTCAATTACTTCCTTTTACTTAGGATCCGCAATCAGTACCAGTGGTAAGAGTAGTCAAAATATCAAAAGATGTGTTGCCTTGGGGAAACCTGCTGTCAAGGACCTCTCCAAAGTGCTAAAGTGCAAGGATATCAGTTTAAAGGCTAAGGTGCACCTGGCCCAAACCATGGTTTTTTAAATGACTTCCTATGCAGCTAAAAATTGAACCATGTACAGGAATGATAGAAGAACTGATGCCTTTTAATTGTGGTGCTGGCAAAAAAGTATGAATATACCATAAACTACCAAAAGAACAAGCAAATCTGTCTTGAAGACAGTGGAACTAGAGTGTTCTTTAGAAGCAAAGATGGTGACACTTTGTCTTGTTGACTGTGGGCATGCTGTCAGAAAAGGCCAGTCCATGTAGAGAAACATCATGGTGGGAAAAATCGAAAGTCAGGAAAGAGAGGAAGGCCTTCAACAAGAAGGACTAACACAATGACTACTACAATGGATGTGAGCGTAGCAGAGACCGTGAAGACGGTACGGGACAGGGCCAGGTCAGATCTGTTGTTCATCAGAGTCACGGTGAGTCATAGTTGACTTGATGGCACCAACAGACAACAACAAACATACCTGGAGCCCTAATTTGAGGACTTTCAATATAGGCTTCGATGACAGTGGCTGGCCCGACTGTTCCTCATACCCTGAGGAAGGGCCAAGTTGTGCTCAGTTATTGTCAAAGTTCTAACTCTGCCTCTCACTCACTTTGTAAACTCAGTATTCCTCTTCCTAAACTGGAAGAATCCAGTTCATGATTTGGGCTTAAGAATCATGCAGAAATGAGGTTTGTCCTCAGCTTTCCCTTTCCTTGCTTCCCACAGTATCATATGAGTGTTAGCACCTCAAAAGAGAAATTGCTGATGTCTCCATTCAAAGATGCCATTGAAGAAGCACTCTGACTTTATTGTAAAGAAACTTGAGTATAAGTTGGAGCTGACTCACTTCCAGAGGCCTGTGTATGATTGCAGCCAAGGAAGGCAGCCACTTTCTGGGGCTGGGGCAAGACCTTGGCAGCATTTAGTTTGTCCACATCACCATAGCAATAAAAATTGGGACCACTGAAGAGGTACAAGCTGGGGCCACTGGAGGAACATGAGTAGGGCCCAAGGGACTTTCCCACACAGAGGGCGGCATCAACATTCTCATGGGGCCAGTGAAGCTCTGTCCATGTGGCCTGAGCTCCTAACTTCATGTCCAACCACCACAGCCGCCGTCCTGTGGAAAAAAGCAACAAACATTAGACAGTGTGTATGCTGAGGCCTTTGGATGCCCTACTGGGGATCTGTACCATGTTAGCAGAGTGTGGTACCTTTGCCCAGCAGCCCCGTACCTGCCATGATGTGTAACCGAGAAGACCCGGGACAGGAAAAGGCTGCATCCACAGAATCAAGGTGCATACCATGAGGGCTCCCAAGTTCCTTCTCCAGTCGCTTTGGATAACCACTTACCAGGGTGTAGCCTCCCTTTGTCAAGAAGACATACACCTGTGTGCCCTGCAGGACAAACGACATTAACTGACTTAGAGCTGCATCTTCTTGCCTTAGTCTCCACCTCAGGCATCTCCCAGAACCAGCACATACCTGGATCAGATAGAGTTTGTCATCCCATGAAAAGGCAGCATCCACTGTAGAAGGTCCTTGTGGCCACTGATGAGAAATGGGCCAGCTATGCCACCCATCCCGGCTTGTATCCAGACGCCAATAGTGGGACCCTATGAGACAACACAGATCCCTCTATAACCTGAGATAAACAGCCAAGAAGGAAGAGAACTGCCTAACAGGGAAGAGTAGAGAAGGCTGTGGGAGCAGTTGGGTTGGACATTGTTATTCAGTTGGAACTGGAGTCATAAGGGCTAACAGAGGAATGTAAACAAGTTGCAGACAACCAATATCACTACATTTGGTGGGAGGCTCCTTCAGGTGTCTGTGTGCAGTGGTGTGATCATAGACAATGACATATTGTAGCCAGAAGTTAAAGCTTCCACTGATCTGGGAGAAAAGACAGGGTAATGATGGGCAAGGTCCAATGGTGATTAATTTTATAAAACATAATATATGCAAATGATTGTCTGAAACACAATGTGGATGAAGAATGGTGTAAAACACGACATATTCAAACTCTGTAAGCAAACCAATTGAAAAAACAATATATCAGAACATGTCTCTGCCCAAGACACTCTCATGGCTTTCGGTCACAGTTTAAAATCTTTAGTAAGTCTGTGTAATCCAGACTATGCCTCCTTCCCTGACTTCTTCCAAGCAGCTGTCCTTCCTCCTTCTTCACTCTGTTCCCATCACCCTGGATTTTTCTAATGACTCCTCCAAGTATTTGCTGTCATTTCTACCTAACGTGCAATTTTACCTCTGCTTTGTTTATTGAATTGTTCTTGTCGTCAATTGCCATCAAGTCAATTCTGACTCCTGGTGACCGATGTACAGAGCAGAAGTGAGCTGCACAGGGTCTTCTTGATTTTAATCATAATGGAAGCAGAGCAACAATAGACTTTTTCTTCCACAGAACCTTTCTTCCCACCTCAGACCTTTAGTTAGCAGTCCAGTGCAAACCATTTTCACCCACCTAGGGGCGTGTCTTCGATGTTTTGCATAGTTAATTCATTTTCATCACTGAAATCTCAGTTCAAATATCACTTCAGAGAAGGAAGACCCTTGTTCTGCTCACTTCTATCCCATTTCCTGTCTTACTGCCATCATAGATCCTAATAGTCTCTCTAAGTATTTTCTGTACTTGTGTACCCTCACTAGTGACCTCTCCCCGTCTGGCAGGCTCTATGAAGACAAGGGTCTTATTTGTTATATTGACTACCATAGCTGAGTACTTGGAACAAGGTCGATGCTAATCAGGCGCTCCATGTATTTGTATTTAATTGCAGGTGTAGTGTTCTCGCTGCCAGAAACTCTGTGGCATAGTGCCTTACGTGTTGGGCTGCTAACCAAAAGGACTCCAGTTTGAATCCACCAGCCACTCTACAGAAGAAAGATAAGGCAGTCTTCTTCCATAAAGATATTTACAGCCTTATGGAGAAACCCCATGGAGGGTCACCATGAATCGAAATCAACTCAACGTAGGGGGGTTGGTTTTTTGTTTAGTTCTCACTGTAACCACGAATCTTCTCCACAGGTGTGAACGGCACTTGCTGTGCTGACATACTCAAACTATACTGCTCGCTGAAAACCCCCTAGTCTGAGAACCACAGCTATCCTGCTCTTCATATAGAGGGGATTACCTGATGCGCTCCTAACATCTCGGTAGTTAAGGCACAGGCTGGCCAGCAACTATTTTAACATATGATATGAAAATATTACCTGAGATGATTAGATTCCCTCTCTCAAATTCTAATTCGTAAAAGAAAATAAGAGAAAAAGCAGAGCCACTGTGTCAGTAGTCAATTGATGCTGAAGCAAATCATGAAGTAAAGATAAGGTAGAGAAGACAGAATGTTCCATGTGCTGGTTGGAGCTGTGAAGGAGCAGACAGAATAAATAAGAATCTATGAAACAAAGAGAAAGATTAGAGACAGAAGAGGATTGGTCTCGTGCTGAGTAGCTGGGTCACATTTGTGATTTCTCCAAGATAGTATGTGCTCTCCTCACATACATCATAGCTATGTGCTCTTACAAGAGATATGGAACATAGCTCATACTTTTAATTTTGAAAAACAGAGTAATCATTAGTATTAGAAACATTCTCATCATGGCCTCATAGTCTTTTCCACATTACACACACACACACACACACACACACACAGAGAGAAAGAGAGAAAAAGATAGTTCTGCAGACTTCCCATGGCTGGGTATTCTCACTATATCTGAGAGGTCACTGGGCCTTGCTTTCTCAATCTCTCACTCAGTCTTACTTAGTCTATGTGTTCCCGTAGCTGCATGTTCTGATACTCTGTCTTTATTACGACATGTGTTCTCAGCATAGTTCTGCATTTTTACCACGGGTAAAATATTTTCATTGGCATTTTATGTTATCATTATGGTATGCATCTCTGATGTGGGAATATGATCTTCTGTGACTCTAGTTTTCATTGTAACTGGCAGTCACAGCTGACTAGATTTGTCTAGGGGGAATGAGTAAAGCATTTTCACTCTTCTATGTTCTTACCACTATCCTCTATTTAGGGATCTCTGGTTTGCCTAGTGGGTAAAGAGTTTACTGCCAGCCCAAAGGCAGGCATTACAAATCCATCAGCTGATCTGTAGGAGAAAGATTGATAATCTCCTCCTGTACAATTTACAACCTCTGAAAACCCACTGGAGGGTCAGTTAGGAGTCAATTTCAACTTGATGGCAACGAATGGAGTTGAGTTGATCCTTTATTTGTATCTGATGTATACAGACATCATACTAAAGTTCCAAATCCAAGCCCATTGTTCTTGGATTGAATGTAATTTATGGTAACCTTCCATTGAATTTTGAAGACTGTCAATCTTTACAGGAAAATTCTGCCTAACTTTCTCTTTCACAGTGACTGGTAGAATCAAATACCAACCTTTGGTGGCTGTCCAACATGTAACACACTCACCATCAGAGCTCCTCTCATACACATCATCAACTCAACTCAACTCAACTCAACTCACTGCCATCAAGTCCGAACTGGCTCATATGCTTCATGAGGTTTCTGAGGCTGTAAATCACATGGGAAGAGATAGTTCTTCTTTCCAAGGTGTGCCTGGTGGATTTGAACCACCAGAGGCACAGTCTTTGGGTTAGCAGCACAACTCCCATGGACTACACCACCAGAGCTCCCTCATAATGCATCACAGGCTGGTTATAACACGTTGGTTCATTCTCCCTCTTGGAGCCATTCTTTAATGAAGAGGAAGAATTCTCTCTACCTGGTTAATCCCAGAATATCTCTAGATAATATTAGATGACATTTACCAGCTGCTATCACAGATCAGGAGGCATGCCTCCATTGACCATTCGGAATCAGAGGGGAATGTAAGGCTGGAAAACCACCTCCCAAAGGGCCCAGAGTTATCTAACACTTTTTGGTAGGTTCTCAGTGATGAGAGTAACTCATCTTCAAGGAATGCTGTGAAATATGCAGCAGAAGGGATGAGGGGAATGAAAGAGCATTTTAGGGATGGATGACAGATAGGGAAATAGATAAAGGATGTAAGATCCAAGTGGCAGAAATGGGAAATAAAGAGAGTGGGTCAGGGGAAATGGGGACACATTTCTTACCACTGAAGGCATAGGTGGCCCCATGGATGTCAGACATGAGTGCAGACAAGACAAGATCTGAGCTACAGCGCTCAGGTCTGTTCCCATGACCAGTCCCATTCCTGTGTCCAGCGCCATGGCCTGTGGGGCAAGGAGTCAAAAAATAGGTGAGGTGGGAACAGAGGGAGGTGAAGGTAGAAGAGAGGGCTGGGATTAGAGGGAAATGTGCTATAAAGGAAGATGGAAGGGAAGAGCCAAGATGGAAACAGGGATGGGGTCAAGATGTTGTAACAGTTAAAACAGGAACTGGGGGCACATGAATTTACAAAATTAGGTAGGGGAGATGGCCTAATTTCAGTGATCTCCCAGGGCCAGGACTTTCTTACCTCTGCCAGGGCAGGACATGAAGTAGTCTCGGGCATCCAGAGGGTACCTGGGAGGCACCTCTCCCGTAACAGGGTTGAAACGCAGGAATTGGTTACCCTGGAAGCAGTAGTAGCGGCCGACCCACCGCAGGGCAGAGGTGCAGTTCCCCACTGCTGGCCAAGAACGCTCCTTTTTGGTTCCCGTGGTGAAGTCCCAAAACCACTTGCGGTTACCTTTATCCAGTGAATTAACAGGCATTCAGTGAGGTTAGGTTATGCTTATCCTGTACTTACATTAGGTCTGAAGACACATAAAATACAGCCCTGACTATGTGAAGCTCACCAACCAGCACGGAGACATTTGAAGAGGGTGAAAACACAAAACAATGCAGCACCAAAGCATGTATAGTCAAGTCAATGGGGGCACTTTCCAGAGAAAGTGAAACAAACTGAAATACAAAGAAGATAAAATAGAACTCCTGAGAGAAGAGCAAGCCTAAAGCATGAAGCAAATTGTGAATGCAGAGAACAGTGTAGTTTCTACAGCTTAGCATTTAAGGTACGGATGTAATGAGAGACAAGGCTGGAGGCTGGATGGTCGCAAGGCACTGGTCATAGAGAGGTTTGTATCCCAGGCTGAAGAGCATAGAAGTGTCATGAGGGTCATAGAGAACAGTAAATGGATTTTTAACAAAATTATATCCATTGTTTTGTTGGAGCAGGTTTTTTGGCAGTGGCGGGGTGGGGGGGTTAAGAAAAAAGTTACTGTGAAGTTAATTCCAATTCATGGTGACACATGGGTCAGAAAAGAACTTCATAAGATTTTCAAGGTTGGGATATTTCAGAAACAGATTGATTACCAGGCCTGTCTTCAAAGGCACCTCTAGTTGGATTCAAACTGCCAGTCCTTCAAATTTATAATCGCACACTTAAGCACAGTACTTTTATTCAGGGACTCCCTAAATCCAATTACCTTCCCAACATAACTTTCAGTCACTCACTCCTTGACCTCAGGACCATACTGGCTTCTCTCTTTTATTCCTTAGGAAATCATATTGAGGTTTTACTCATAACCCCTCACGACCACTACCAGCCTCATTACCGACACCAGCCCAAGTCTCAGATTCCTGTCTGTGCTGACCTTGGAAGAAGAGGACACCCTCCTCTTGGCATTCTCCACGGTGACATTCCACAGCTGCGTCCAGTGGGTACGGGATTCCAGGGAATTCATCTTGAAGCAACTTCGGATATACTGTCTCCTTGTCAGGAGAGTATATCCAGATTTTGTCTCCCTGCACATAAAAGCCCTCTCTTATAAATTCTGCATTCCTAGAATTGCCATTCTGCATTTACACCCAACATTTACCAAGTATCCTCCTGCAGCCCCACACACTCTCAATCCATCTATAGGCAATATCCACTAACACAAAAACATGCCCTCAAATTGTGATGACTCGGCACTGCTACCAATACATGCACTCATGTAACTATGCACGATCAGATATTGCAGTGCCACATATACATCAATCTTGGCAAGCACATCCCTAAATACTCAATGCCACTGAATCAGAGCCAACTCATAGCTGACCCTCCAGTGGATTTTCAGAGGTTGTAAATTGTACAGGAAGAAACTGTCCATCTTTCTCCCTTGGAGCAACTGGTAGATTTAAACCCCCTGCATTTGGGTTGACAGTGCAACTCCTAACCCATTAGGCCATCAGAGCTCCCAGATCTATTCACACACTCATTTATTTAGGTACTCATTCAAGAAACAGTTGCTGAATGAATGCTATATGCTGCTATATGCCAGGTGCTATGCTAGGCACAGGATAAAGATAACCTTGCCTCTGCTTTGAAGGAGCTCATTATACAAAAGCAAGAAGAAATTATATAATTCTAGGCATGGAAACACTAAGGTAGGAAGCATGCAAAGTGAATCAGGAATATAGGGGAAGTGACAATGTTTGCCTAGATAAGTCCCAGGGAGCTTCACAGAAGAGGAAGCATTTTGGCCAAGAATTAGAAAATGAACAGCAATTTTCCAGGAAGGTAAGTGAGGAAAGGGTTCTACCAGCAGAGGGAGCAGCATAAGAGATACAGAGAACAGTGTGCTCACAAAGCTTGTATAGTCTCATGTAGCTGGCACATCATGAATCAGTCAGGGGAGAAGATAAACCTGGAAAGATGATTAAAGGCCAGATCAGGAGACTTAGTGTGTGCCTGGCTTGGAGTGACTGGGTTCATGGTGGTGCCATTTACAGAAACATGAAAAAGAGGAGCGTTGATGTGTGATGAAGATACTGAACTTGGTTTCGGGGATTCTGAATTTGAGATCCTGTGGAATATCTTGAAGGCTGCTTCCTGAGAGGTGAAAACAATTGTACTCAATTACTTAACCTACAGGTTAATGTTCTGAGCCCACCCAGTTGGTATGTGGAAGAAAAGCTTCCGTAAAATTAGTTGTATGTGGAAGAAAAGTTTCCATAAAATTACAGTCAAGGCAACAGCCCTCCAGAGCATTTCTACTTTGTACACACGGGGCTGCTGTGAGTCAGAACCTGGCAACGTGTTTGGTTTGTCTGTGGGGCTTTTTTGTTGTTTTGCATTTGGCGGGGGGGGGGCAGGGGTTTAACAATTTAATAGCTAAGTTAAAAACAGCTGCTAGGAAAACAGCTCAGGAAAAAGATCAAGATCTAGTGTTAACAGCATAGAGTCCTCAGAATCACGACAATGATTGAATTGGAATGACATTCCAATAGGAATATCAATGGGCTGGGACAGAAAGATTCAGGAAATGGCAGAGGATGAGAAGCCTGAGAATAGCAGGAAGGAGGCAGGTGGGAAAACAGTTAGTAGGCAGGCCTGCCCCACCCACACAGCACCCTGTAAGTAAGTAGTGTAAGCGAGAAAAAGTAGCCCTTCCTCCGAGCCCTGGGCCAGTGCTCAAAGCTTGGTGAGCAGAGTGAGCTGGATTTTATTCTCCACTTGTCTCTCAGGCAGGTGCCATTGTTCTGTGAACAAGCTGGCCATGCATATGAGCAAGTCATAAGTGCATGAAATCAAAGAAACTGCCAAGAAGCAAAGAATGGCCAACAGTGTAAGGGTCCACAGTGAACTAAGATTAGGAATGCAGGCAAGCCACTAGTTGTGTGGTATTTGCCCTTTCCACATGCACACAAACTCCCCTGGCCTGATCATCTGCAGGAAAAGAAAGCACAAATGGAGGAAACCTAGTAACCATCAGTATGGGCTCCACGCCAAGGCCATTTAGGGGAGGGCCTCTAATGTATTCTAGCCCTTCCCAGCTCGACCCTGACCTTGACTCAGCAGTACCTTGATCAGGAAGATGTTGTCATGGCCACGCCGGAATGCAGCATCCACAGGGCCTATGAAATTCTTCCATTGCTCTGCGATTGACTCTCGGGCCCATTTAGGACTCTTCCACATAGACTCCCCTGAAAAATCCACTTTCACTCAGAGGCCCAGATTAAAACAAACAAACAAACAAAAAAATACCTCTGGCCTACAGAGGTAATTATATAGAAGTTATGGGAGATAATCCCAGCTAATTCCTGAAACCACACACAGAGGGGAAACCCCCCACTTAAAGAGGACTCAGTCTGAGACCTCTAAATGCTCCAGCCCAGACCTTCCTACCTTTAAAATACAGCATGGCCCCGCTATCATCCAGAGTGGCAGCATCAAAGCCCCAGTCATCTGAACATCGTTCTGGTGGTGGAAGCAGGGGTATGTCAAAGTAAAAGACCAGCCAGATGGTAAAAGGTAGAGATCTAGCCAGAGAGATAGAGACTCAGGGAATGAGGGCCTCACCAAGCACGTCTGGGTCTGGTTTGGTCCCATTTACTCCCTCAGCTCCATTCGCAGGGTCACTGGTCCTACTGGGAAAGGGGAAAGATATTGAGCTCTTCATCCTTTGTCTAAAGATTAAATTCCAATTTCCAGCAACCCCGCGTGCATCAGAACAGAACTATGCTTCGTAGGATGATTTCAGCAGCTGATTTTTCAGAAGTAGATTGTCAGGCCTCTCTTCCAAAGGTACCTCAAGGTGTACTTGAACCTCCATTTCAGTTTCTAGCCAAGCACAGTAACTATCTGTATCACACAGGGAATCCGTCCCCAAATTGCTCCAGGCATAACCTATTCCACCTTAGCCAGCTCCCAGTCCTCTTGCCCTAATCCCAGTTTAACTTACAGGGCGGCAAGAGGGTGGGCAATGACTAGAGACCAGCATAGGGCCAACAATCCCAGTACAACTGGTACTCCTAGTGCCCGAGCCATGCTGAGCTAGAGAGGCCACAAGACAGCTCTAGGTTTCTGGATGAACTCCCTATATAATGATGACAGCAGTGGCACCACCCCCACCTCCAACCTAGTGGGAATGAACTGCTTACCAGGACTATGACAATATTGGCTGATTACATCACTGCAAATAAGGTCAGAGTCTGGACAGAAGTCTATGTCCAGGACTCTCTCTTCCCGGCATTGGATCCAATCCCCTTATTTGACTTTCACACAAGAAATGGCCCATAACATTGATGCTCAGCTATGATTTCTATTACCTTGGCAATAGGTCAAGGGTGCCCAGAAAGACAGGGAAGAGGTGGGCGGATTGAAGAACATCTATCTGTAGTTTGAGCTACCTCTACAACAAAAGGAAAAAAGAAGGAAACTAGCTTTAAATAACTCTCCCTCTTGGTATTCTATTCACACCATGGGTAACCACTAACTGGTTAAACCACATAAACTGAAATCTCGATACACTAGGTATTTTATATAAGTGAGATCATATCTTTGTTTTTTGAGTCTGATTTCTTTTAGTCAGCAATTTTTCAAGGTTCATCTATGCTGTGAGCATGTATCAGAAATCTATCTATTATCTATCTATCTAGTGGTCTAATGTAAGGATATA